CCGGCGGGGCGCGGGAGCGGCAGCAGCAGACAGCGGCGCGCGGCGTCGGTAGCGGTCGGCTCTGGCGCGGCGTCTCGTCCACCCCCTCGTGAGCCTGGGGAACCTGCAGCTCAAAGCCGCCGCCAGCCACACCACCATGTACCCCGGCAACAAGCGGAAAAAGCTCTGGCGGGAGGAGAAAGGTATTACCGCCCTTCCCGCCTCCCGGTACCGGGCCCGGGCCCGCTTCTCCCGCCTTTACCTCACGTTGAGTCGTGGGGGGAGGGCGGGTAGTGTGTGTGTGGGTCCCGTCCCCTCAGAGCAGCTGTCGCCTCGCCGGGGGGGTGTCCGGCGGCGCTTCCCGCCGCCCGGGGCTGAGGGACGGGGTGGGGGAGGGGTGCGTGTGTGCGCTCCGTGCTCTCCGCCCTTGCCCCTGAGGTCTCCTACCTGAAACACTCCCAAATCCCGCACACCTGGGGTGCGTCCCTCCGCCGCGTGTGCGGGATTTGGGGGTGTTCCCCGCCCCTCGGTTATTGCTGACTAACTTTGCCTGTAAGGAGAGGGGCCTTGGGGCTGAGGGGAGCGAGGGGGGGCGGAGGATAACGGCCCCTCTCCTGAGGGCTTCCCGCCCCTAAGTCACCTTGTGGAAGTCTTTCAGGTCGAAAAGTTCGGCACATAACGTCAAAACGTGCCTTTTTTCATTTTAATGCGCCTGCGTTCCAGGGAAAACGTGGTTTATTGGTATTACTGGTGTAATGCACTTAAGTTTAGCTACTAGCGTTGATGACCCGGGGTGAAATGTTTGGGGTATGGGGGCTCTCAAAGCACATACGCCCCTGGTAGGAAACATTTATTCCTTTTATTTTTTTTAAGGACCTGCACCCTGTGTAGTCTCAGTTTATAAAACCCCAACCAAACTCCAAAGCGTGAAAACTGTGGGACAAGCATTTTATGCAGACCTTGCCATTTTGATACTTTATCTTGATCACGTGGAGAGCAACGTAAAAATAAAGAGAAATTTACACAGTGGAAGCATAATATTTACATTGGCTAGGAGGAAACGATTCTTGCCTGGTGGGTTTACAAATAATCTAGAAATATACAAGGAGGAGAGAAGAACAACAAAAACATATGAGTGGTTTGTATTTTAAGTTTTCTTTCTCTTCTTCCATCACTGCTACGACTGTGTGTGTATTTCAAGCCAAGGAAGCAGAAGACCAGCTCTGAGGATGAGATTAATCCTTTTTGTCTGTGGCAGAAATCAGGTGCACGTTTCTAAGGAAAAATTGTTAAAACACAAATAAACTGATCTCTCTGTAGGTTAGCTGCTCCTGTCAAACTCTTCTCAAACGAAGTGAGTTTTGTTGCTTACTTTTTTTCTTTCAAAAGTGTCTTCCAAGGCATGTTTCTATAGTTAAGCTGAGGCAACAAATTTCTACCAGATGTTTTAAATTTCTGTTTTCTCCAGGGAAGATACTGTTAAATCTTCTCAGGCATTGCTTATGTGTGATCAATTGTAACTGACTTTCCCTGTGCAAGTCCTTAATGCTGTATGTCGTTACCTTAAAAAAAAATAATGCTGGTTTTTGTACTGGGGGTAGATAGGGAAAGGTTTCTAGTAGGCTCTGGTGAGTGTTGCCATTACTCCCACTTGTCTCTTCCAGCTCTGCTGTTGTCTGTGTGAATTCATAGCCTGCCTGGCATGTGAACTTGAACCCTTGGTAAGGAGGGTTGAGTGGAGGGCCTGGAGAGTAAGCTGGAAACCTGACCTGCAGGCACGCTTTTGTTTTCTTAGTTAGCTATGAGGATGGTGGCCTCCGTCAGTACGGTGATGTTACGAATGCAAACCAGAGCTCACAACTGCTGGCGAGATTTTTCTATCCAGGGCAGCATGTTTGTGAGTGCTGGCTGGCCAGAACTCAATGTCTCTTTGCCTAGTGAGAACAAACAGCATTTGCCAGTCTTCTGCTCCAGTAACTGCTTTCCAGCACCATGCTAATAATGCAGGCCCTGGGTGTTTTGAGTGAGGAGGGCAGAAAAAACTTCCGTGTTTGTAGTTGGCATTGCTCTTCAGCTTGTAGCCCTGTGTGACTGTTCTTACCATGTACCTTCTTTACTAGAGAGGAAAACTATAGAAGCCCACCTTCTTTCCTTCCTACAAAGATTGTACTTTTTGAAATCAAATCTTTTGTTAGGTCTGCCTTTACCTTTCCCAGGTAATCCTGAACCCCTGTAATGCTGGCTGTGCTTGCTGGTTCTACTCTTCCCAGGAAGTTCTGAGTGCAATTGTTCTCAGCCTTTTATATTCTGAAGAACATTTTTTTTTAAAAAAGAAAATGCACTGATTGCTAAATATTGAGTTCAAACCCACTGACAATACACTTGCTTTTCTTAATTACTTTCTTGGTAATTAAGGATTGGCCCATGTTATCCCAGGGAGGATCTTGCTTGAGGACACCTGAAACAGAGTTGCACTGGGACTGGAGTTGATTTCACAGCCTTAGACACAGGACTGGTCTGCCCACAAACTTTCAAAGGCGATTCATAAAGCTACAGGCAGAAAACTGTATTTGCAGCTAAAGCTGTTGGAAGCATTTTCCAGGAGGTTTGTGTATGATTAGAACCCAGTTTAAGTTCTTGCTGCTGACTTGCAAGAGCAAAGTTTTGTAAAACCTTCTTACAGAGAGGAACTTGTGTTTTGAAGGCACAGAATTGGCCCTGTAACCTCTTCAGCAAAAGGCAGTTAAACTTCCTCTGCTTGTCAGTCCCTCAAACCTGACACGCACAAGCACACAGTCTCTCAGGTTTGCCTTTCTGTAGTATGTCTAATGTGCATGTTAAATACTTGGTGGTTTGTATGCTTGAAGAAAGTGGAGTTAAGTGCGTTATCTGTTGTGCATAATGGCAATCCTAATCACATTAGCTTTACTTTTGCATTTGTAAATATGCAGTTAAGATACTGAGCCTGAATAATGGGAGAGAAATTTCTTTGCCAACTGAAGAAATCAGTAATACTGTCAAAAATATCAAAATAAACTTATTTTTATAAGGGAACCTGTGCTCAAAACCTGCCTTTGATTATTGGACTGTGCTGATTGCAGCCTGCATAATTAGGAGACTTTATTTTGCAAAAAAAAATAAAATCCCAAACCCACTGAAAGTGATCTTCTTTTTCTTTCTTTAAAGTTTAGATCTGAGAAGCAGTTTCCATGTTCAACTCACTGCTCCTTCAGCTTGAGATGAAAATAGTCTTTTCGTGGCCATCTAGTCCTTTATGCCAAAGTCATATAATAAGGGTCTAGTCCTCCCTTACACACCTAAAAACTCTTGAATTGTCAAAGGGTGTTTATTACTGATTAATGTGTCAAGAAAAACTATTAGTATGGTAATAGTAGTACAGTGCCACCGGTGAAAACAGATTCAGAAACTTGATTAGTGTGTGGGTGTTGTGATACTCTCTATAGTTTGGGGTTTGTCGTTTTGGTTTTTTTTTTCCTTCCCTTTTGGAAGGGGAAAAGCTCTGCATCCTGTGCTGAGCTAATACTACGCACTGATGGGATGGGAAGGGAGAAGATGTGGCTGCAAAAATCGGGTGCAGGGTCTTGCTGAAGTGCTGGGGTTTGCAGTGTTGGGTTATTGGGCTGTTTTTTTTTCTTATCTTAGAACTTAGTCCATTTATAGCAAGGTCTGAAGAAGAGTAAAGTTGGCAGTAGCCATCATAATGATACAATCTTCGAGGCTTTGCTTTTCACTAAATGTTTGAAAAAAGATGTGGTAACTTTCTCAGGAGAAAACAACCACCCATATGTGTTTTAGTGTGGTAACCAAGTGTGTCACATTAAAGCTCAAATAAAAATCTCTAAAGCTTAACCCATGCTGCTCACTGTAAACCCACCTTCTGTTTTGCAGCACTTGAAATCCAGCAGATGGAGTTCATGCTGATCCTGGTCTGCTTTGTAGAAACATGTTTAGTCAGTGGATGGCAGTGGGCTTCCCTAGCGCTTGGGATTATGTTGAACCAAAATTTGTCAAACTTACATACTTGTGTTACTCCTGGGTACCTAACAGATACCCTAGTATTTTCTACAGCTGCTGATTTTTGGCCCAAAATGGGATTAAATGCCACTGGATGTGTCTAAAGCAAATGACAGCAGTTTTCTCATGCTGGAAATTACATGCGGAACAAAAAAATGAACCAAACAAAAATGCCTTTCTGATCACCCCAGCCATCTAGAAAGTGGCATAAGGTTTGCTTTAGTTGTTTTTTTCTTTTGTCATATAGTAGCACTTTGTTAATTTCATGCCATGCTCCTTGCTTTTACTTGCTGGCATTGGTAAACTTGTTTCAGTAAAAACGTTTTAATTTTGATCTTCCTAACTTTTCTTTTTTTGAAGTTCTGGTTTGCAAATGCAGCATCTAAAGAATAGACTTTAATACCTGAAAATTCTCTATAAAACAACAATTCCCTACTTAATAAACTTGCTGTTAGTGCTCTGTTCCTTGAATTAAAGTGGCAGCAAGAGGCAGAGTAGCGATGTGGGGAGGAAGTCTGGACAGCCATGAGTGTGGTGAAGATGCATTTCTTCTTGCTGAACTGGGATATCCAGAAATAGGTGCATGCAGTTGTTTAGATGCTCCATGTTTAGCTCCTATTACTTGTAACTCATTGAATCATCTGTTCTTGGTTCTCTCAAATGGCATTTAATTGCATCAAGGACACTTAATTGGTCACTACTTGGCTAATATGCAAGAATATATGAAAGCTTGCAAACCCTTTTTTATTTCTTTCCCCTAAACAGAGCGTTTGCTGAAGATGACCTTGGAAGAAAGACGCAAAGAGTACTTAAGGGATTATGTTGCACTGAAAAATATTCCAACATGGATGGAAGATTTAAAAAGTAAGAGCGAAAGTGATGGTAAGTGAAACAAGGGAATCTTTTTAAATACAGACCATTCCGTTTTTTCAGTCTGAAGTTACTTTCAGGAGGGCCAAGGCTTAGAACCCCTGTTGTTACTAACAGTGGCAGCCTAAAATGAGGACAAGAGCACTTTGGGGGCAGGAAGAAGAAACCCCAACACAATTTCTTAAAGCCCCACTGGTGTCCACTAATTCAGCAAGTAGCCACAGGCAGAGTCATAATAACACTGATACCTTTAAGTGTGTAAAATAGCTATTCTCTGCATGAGTCTTACTTTCCAGATACTCTAGCAGTCAGCCGTGCTTAATGAACTTTGTCGTTGAAACTTAGCAAGCATAATGATATGGGGAATCTGGGCAAAATAGTGTTGTTCTTGTAGGTGGCTGAAAAGCAGAGGGGAAGTGTGCAAGTTGTGTTGTTTTCTGAAAATCCAGAAACGGGAGAAGATTGGATTTGAAGCTTCTCTTACTTATGGTCCTGCCTGCTTTCTTGGGCTGAGGAACGTCAGCCTGCCTGGATTAACTCCCCTTCTCTTACCCTATGCAGCCTTATCACGGTTATGATCACCAGTAGAGTTGTCTAAATACTTGCAGTGAAGGCTGACCAAAAATGAGAATCTGATTCACTTGGCGAATTCAGTATTCTGTAAGTAATTCTGTAATAGTGCCTTGTTCTTCATCTAGGTCTCTTTCATCCACACAAGTATGTGGAAGAAGAGGGACTTCTGAGCTGGTTTCCTTTTCCTTTTTTCTTTCTGTGTCTTGTTATCCTACTTGGCTGAAGCTTATGTTTTTTGGAGGAGGATCTAACTGCGAGACCCAAGGTGTTGCCTGCTTCTGCAGATACAGGACTAGTTTTCTGACCCTTTTGTTATTGTTAAGGGCAAATACTGACCTGTGTGGACAGGTGTGTAGAGTAATCTTGTGGCTGCAGGTGAACATGGTCTTTATGATAATACTGCAGGTGAGATGAGGCCTGGAACTGATCAGCTGTTTTAAATAAAATGGGAAAGCTGTAACACTTACTTTAGCACAGTCTGGAGGAGCTGACAGATTTGCAAATGCCATTGTCATAAACAACTAATGCTATCATCTACTCCAAAAAGCATCTTTAATGAGTTTGAAGTGAAAACATGTCTGCGGTTGCTGAGCTCTTCAATGCTGATGAGTAGTTGTATTACAACAGTACACATTGACCTCTTTCTCCCATTAGAGTAGGTCTTTTATATCTTACAACATCAAGAAGCCTGCCCATCTGGAAAACAAATGCTGCATAAAAATAAAAAAGATTACCTGACTTCTTCAAAGTTCATTTTGGAGGCCTGTGGTATATGGGGATGTGCAGTATATCATGTGGTTTAACTGTGAGACTCTTTACCCGTTCTAGCCTAAACTATGTTTTTATTCTAACTACTCTCAGATTCTGTATAACGTGTTAGAATTCACAGATCTTGTATTACTTGGGCTGCTGAACGTGACAAGGTGCGGATTTATGTTGTGATTGCTGTTACACTTCACATAAGCAAAATGTCAGTGTCTAATATGTGGGTATTGAATCATGGCAGTGGCGAATTTATTTTTTTGTAGCTGCTCTTGCATTCTTTCTGTTAGTACCTAGTACACTGCAAAAAAAATGCTGGAAGGTAAAAGTTGTGTTGAAACACTTCTCTGCTACTTGAAGCTTTTGTTACACAGTACGTTCAGGAGAAAATATCCATAGCACTTGTTTTCTTTGATGTATTTGTTGTAAATAAGCCATGTGGAATAGTGAAGTTCTAGAATGTTGAAATGCTTCAACGTTTCAACTGATCAGTACTGTTAAAAGAAATATGTATATTAATGTGACTGTTACTGCATCTGTTTCAAACTTTTATTTCCCTTAAATATTGACCCCACTTTGAAGGTATCAAGAGTGTGTAAGAACTGTCTTTCTGAGCTGAAATACAAAAAAAAAAATTAGAATTTATGTCGTCTTGCTGATGAGAACTTCTGCTCCATATACTGGGACATACAGAGGGAAACTGGTACAACCTAAACAAGACTCTGGAGAGAGCAGATGAAACCCCAGGTATGATGAAACTGGTGATGACTTGACAATGTCATGCCGGAGTTCTGCTGTTTTCTACAAGTGAAAGGCTACTTCTTGCAGTACAAACTATAGAGGTCTGAAGGGGGGGGCTGGGGGGGAGGCCTGGGGGGGGGGGGAGGAGAGAATCCTCTGCATGTTTGACAAGCCAAAACAACAACTGAATGTGGAAAAAATTCTTTATCGTTTACTTCCAACACTGCATACAGTGGAAAAAATGACAGATTGATTAGTAAAGTGTGGAGTGGCTGTTCAGGAAGTGATGAGGAGAAATCAAGAAAGGAACCAAGAACAAATAAAGTGATGCAAGTTCAATCAATCTGCTGCTGTAGTAATAAGCTGTAGGAGAAGGGGAGAGCATCTGGGCTGGCAATAGTCCCTGTAGATAATCAACTGGAGATTAAGGGTGTTCAGTAATGCACAAATTTTTGTACTGACTGTTAGGAAAAATTGCGTGAACAATAGAAAAGCTTTATGGTACCCATTTTTAAATGTGATGACTCACTGGAGGGTGTTAGGAGACTCCAGTTAGGCACATGTTTTTGTTATACGGATGTCTAACAGAAGATTGAGAAGTCTGTGTGCACAACTGCTGAAACTGAAATGACCTAAAAGGTTCATGTTGGGAAGGAACCAACCTGACTGCCGTGATATCTCTGCATGCTATTTATTGACAAGTTCGGAGAACACAGTTTGTGGAGGAAAGTATTTCTGCCCCACCCCTCCTCCTGCACCCTTTGGTATGAAGTTGTGTTCAGAACTAAATTCTGAAGAAAACCAGTAAAGCTTGGAATAAGTTGATATTAAGGTGAATTTTGGTGAGGCTGGAAGCCTTTATAACAGAGGGATGTGTAATGGCGTAAAGGCTTTTGAGGAGTGAAGTTAGGGAATTCTGAACGCCAGCTGACAAGGGCTTTGTCATCTTTTATGGCAGCAAAGCTGTTTGAAAACATTTGGAAGTTGACAGCAGCTGTGTATAGTTTTTGTCTTTGTTTTGCTCTTCTGTGACTAAAAACCCTATGATTTTTGCAGGACTCCTTGTATGGACATGGTTAGTCATAAGAAATTAAGTTGGTGTGTGTTTTGGCATGGAATTTGGTCAATATTTCTGATAAGTTTTGATTTGGGGGGGGGGGGGGGGGGGGGGGGGCAATGTGGAATTTGGGGATTAAGTCCTGTACCCACTGCTTTGAATTGAGGGAAGCAAGCTGATGTGGGTACGTGCATTTCCAGAAGGACTATGTTGTCAGCACCCCTGGTTGTTGGATGGGTTTTGGTGTACAACTTGCCAGGCTGCACAAGTGGACCTCAGAGATCAAGTATCATAACACTATCCCTTTTCCTTCCACTGCTGTTACTAGCAAGTGGCCCTCTTTAATGTCAGAGGGGATGGTAGGAAGGGAAAAAAATTCTTGTTCTTGAAGTAGTTCTGTAAACGTAAGCTTTCTTTGCTTTAACCACATTTATTAAGGAAATGAGGAGTTGTCCACTTTGGAAACGAAGAATGAGCCTGTCATACAGGGTTGGCTAGCTCGTATATACTGTAATCCATCGTTCCTCCCACTTCTTATCCTTCAGATACACCAAAGGCAGACACATCTCATCTGTTCTGTTACGTACTTTGAAGTAGAGTTCCTTCCTGACAACATGCGAATAATGGACTTGTTTTCTGAAGCTCTGGAATTTGTATACCTTTATTTCAATGCTATCTATTGTATACCACTTTATGTTAGGCATTCACGCTGTACAGCAATGGTAGCTTATATTTTGTGATGCTTGGTGAATAAGATGTCACAACATAGACTAATAACTAGAGTGTTTTTTGAAGTTAAATGCATATATTAGCTTTTTCTTTGGTACACAGTTATTCCCAAAGATGTCTTTACTCTTCAGTGGGGAATGTGAGAGATGACTTCAGAAAACATTTTCCTGAAAGCTTTTTGAAAAGTTAGGGTCTCGGGAATTCTGTTGTCACTGAGTTTGTATGTCACTGGTAGAAAAAAGTTTTGTCGCATTAACAGGTTAATTCAGAAAATGGAATAAATTATATGGTTTAACTCATGGCAGCTGACAGTCCTGCTGACTCTCACAGCCTCTGGGATTCATTGGTATAGCAGTGGTGCCAAGAAAACAGCAAATTCAGGTGATGGTTTAAAGATCTTTGCTAATGGTAAGAACTACTTTTGATTGGATGAATTTACAAAGGATGGACACAGTAACTGTTGGGTTTTTTTATTTTTGTTTAAGATGAAATGCCATGAAAGGTCTGCAGTCCTTTTTTTAAGCAAGTTGAGAAGTATGTTTAGATGTTTTGGCATCCTCTGTATTTTCTTAATCTGCAATATTTTTAGAAAATTATATGGTTCAACTGTATTCAAATTAATCTACTTTTAACACTGAGGGTTTTATGTATAATAGTAAGGTTTAGATTTAATAAAACTGTCTTTTGTACTATGAATCTCTAGCTTTCTAAATATTCACGGTGAGTTGACACAAGATTATAGAGACAAAGCATTTAGATGAGCTACTTGAAATGCTTCATCCTAAAAAGAAAATGTGTGGTAATACTGAGCTCTGTTGACCAGCATTTCTTGAGATGGTTAACTATCCACAGGTAATACTGGGTTCTTCAGAGCATCTCCATGTGGCCCTGTTTGATGTGAATATCTGTCCTGCAGGACCAGGAATCAAGGTGATGATCATCAAACAGCCTTTGGAAAGTAATGCCACTGCTAAGCTGCAGTGAAATTAAGCCAGGTGTCTACAATTGAGAAATAGCATCTCTTTAAACCATTCATTATTTTCAGTGAGTTATACAGAAAAAGAAATCATGTTCTACTAGAACATTAAGGTTGTCAAAAGTTGCCCAACAAGCAATGAATTGTTTGTAATAGCTACTTGAAACCAGTATG